TTGTTATATTGCATATTGTTGTCTTCAAAATAGTTGTTCAGATTACCAGATATAAGCATGCAAAATTGGTCAAAAAGTTAAGCATTAACTATTCCTTTCAATAAATCAATAGAAATTAGTAGTACAATTATCTCAGCTATCTTGTGAGCCTGTCAATTTCTAAAATAAAAATATATAAACCAAGTTTAGCTATGGTTCTGATTGAAACTGTATTCAACCCGTAACTTTGGAGACAAGTGCTTGTGCCAAGTAGCCAGGGAGAAGGTGAGACTAAGTCTTAGGATGCTTTTCAGTGGTATTTTACAGTTTTCTGTGTATAGATCTCAGGCATAGTCCATAGAATCTACTTCGAAGTATTCAGTATGCTAAAAATTGTATTTAAAAATGGAACTGTTTTTATAATTTCAATGGTTCATTGTTAGTACAAAGGAACAGCTGATTATGGTGGGGGGTTTATAACCTGTGCTTGCTAAACTCACTTAGCTTTTGTTATTGTTGTTGTACTAGGGATCAACCTGGGGACTTTAACCCGCCACACGCCCAACCTTTTTTTATTTTGAAACAGGGGAGCGTGAAGTCACTAAATTCCCCAGGTTGTGCTTGAACTGTCCATCCTCCTGCCTCAGCCTCCCAAAGTACTGCAATTACCTGCAAACCAAGCATATTGAAATCTTCCCCTCCACTGGTGTGATTTTTGTTTTTCTTTCTAATTACACGGCTGTGCCCTCTAACACTGCCACACGGAGGGCAGTGGACCTCCTCACTCTCTCCTGGCTGGCAGCACAGCACTCTTGCTGCTGCGATCTTCATGCTGGGCTCTGCAGTTTCCTTGACCAGCTTGAGGGAGCAAGGGAGTGCCCTCCGTCACTATTTATCACGATTTATGTTGCTGGAATCGGTTCGCTAATGTTGAAGGTATTCGTTTCTCGGCTCATAGATGAAGTGGGCTTTCATTTTCTTTTCTTGTCTTGGCCTGGTTGGCTTTGGTGCTGGGGTCACGACGGTCACCTAGCACACTGGTGTTCTGAAAGTGCAGGGGTTAACTGGCCAGTGGGGCCTCTTGGCCTGGACTCTTCCAGGGACAGGGCCCTTCCTAACTCTGGTCCCACAACAGGACTGACTGAGAGGCCCCTGGGAGCTGTGGCATCTGGAGCTGCACCTGTCCTGGTGTTTCCCTTCTGGGGCGTCTCTGCACCAGGCCCGCTGGACCAGCTGGCCGAAGCCTGGCCGTAAGGGGCTGTACTCTTGATGCCACGAACACAGTGGAGGGGAAATGTGGTGGTAGCTGTGAAGGTGAGGAGTTAGAGAATTTGCATCAGACAACAGAACAGGGGCGGGGGACAGCAGGCCCCACAGCCCTGAGCCTGGGGAGACGCTGGCAGTGGTGACTTAGACACGGGTCACAGAACCAAGGTAGAAGGCTGAGCAGACACCGCTGTGCCCAGCAGGCCTGAAGAAGCTCTGGACTGAGCTCTGGAGACTCCAGAGGGTGGGGCGGCACAGACCCAGAGTGAACCAGTGGCCAGAGAGAAAGAAGGGAAGCCCGGGGCGCTGGGGCGGGGTGGACTGCACCTGCAGGGAGAGCAGAGGCTGCAAAGCAGGAGTTTGGTGACTAGGCCGGGACAGGCAACAGGCCCACGGCTGCTAAGCACACAAGAGCCATGTGCATCAGCTGGGGAGGCCCGTGGCTCAGATGACACCAGTGGGCAGGCAGAAGCCTGTTGGGGTCGCTGCAGGCCCCTTCTTGGGCTGCAGAACCCCGACATCCTGGGCTCCTGCACACTCTTGGCCTAGCTGGACCTACCTACAGCCAGACTTCCCTGCTGGAAGATTTCTCCATACAGGGTCCCAAACACTCCTTAAATTCAGCTCAGGCACGTGAGAAGCAGGCCAGGGCTGCCCCCCTGCTGTGGCTGCCTGTGACACACCCCCACCCCAGCAGGCCCTAGCACTTAGATGCCAGGGGGCTGTGGGGAGGGGACCGCTGTTCTGAGGGCTGGAAACACACTCAGCCCAGGGAGCACTTCACCCTCCACTGGCCTTCTCAGGGGTCCAGGAGGATCTGGGCAAGTCCCAGGCTCAGCTGTGCCCCAGGACAGCAGGAGTGGAGGCAGCTAGGCATGGGCAGGGCGATGGTGCAGCATAAGGTCTGTGGGTGAGCTCTCAGCACTCAGGGTTCACTGTAACCTGGTGCCACACTGGTCACCCCAGCTGCCCTAGGGGCCCACAGGCAGGGATCCCCGGATGTGCAGGGCCTGCTTTCTCTTTTCCACCCCCTCCCACCACCCTCTGCAGCACTAGCTTAAGGAAACTCAAGTGCTTTTCTGCCAGAAACACAGGATCTCTCCAGGTCTGGCTGCCTCTGCGGATGGGCCTGAGGTCCACAGGTCTTCCAGATGCTTCTCTAGATCTGGGGTGTCTCCGTCCCTAGACCAGGCCCAGGCTCAAGGAGACAAGGTCTGCAGCAGAGACATGGCAGGCGCCAAGGCCGAGGTGTGAGTGGGTGAGCTCTTTGGCCCTGCTGTGACCTCTCGCATAGCATAGCCAGGAAATGCTGTCCGTTCCTCCGGTGGGGACAGGCGCAGTGCTGGGGGAAAGGCTTCTAGGCACCACCTGGGCAGGGCCAAGGCCCCGGCTGGGCACCGCAGTGTGCAGCACCCCACCCTGCAGGCAGCACCCCACTCTCTCACATGCGGCACCCCAGCCTGCGTTCAGCTCCATGCCACACGTGCAGCACCCCATCCCACATGCCGCACCCCACATGCAGCACCCCAGCCTGCGTGTGGCCTCCTACCCCATGTGCAGCACCCTAACCTAAATGCAGCACCCCATCCCACATGCAACACCGTCCGAGCCTGCCGCACCCCAGCCTGCATGCGTTGCCCCACCCGTGCACTAAACCCCGTCCGAGTACCGGGCCAAGGCAGCCACCCGCACCGCCTCCCCACGGCAGAAGCCCGCGCAGTCCTGGGCGCAGGACTCTTAGCCCTTACTTCACCGGGCCGCGCCCCAGCCTTGGTGAGTGTGGGCGAGGTGGGAGGAGCAGCTACTGTGGGCGGGGCGGACTGGGCACTGCCTCTCATTGGCTGGTGCAGGCACCATTTGCAGCCGTTGCTGCAGCCCGCAGTGCTCCACGGGCTCGCCTCGGCTCGGCTGCTCGGCTGCGCTCGGTTGCTCGGCTGGGCTCGGGTGTTCGGCTGCTCGGCTGGACTCGGCTGCTCGGCTGGGCTCGGCTCGGTTGTGCGGCTCGACTCGGCTCGGCTGCTCGGCTGGGCTCGGCTCGGCTGCGCGGCCGAGGACGGGTGTGCGCGGGGGG